TTCGCAAGCCGGCAAGGAGAGGGGCAGCGAGAGGAGTGCAAGGCAATCCGTTCGGCTGGGGAGCAATTGGAGGAGTGCAGCCACGGTCGCCTCGCCGTCGACCTTGTCGTGTTGCTCCTCAAAGTCCTCCTCGTCCTCAGGCGGAACGCAGTTGCTGGCAACGGCGGCAACACTGGGCGACAACAGGCGGGGCGGGTGCTCCACCGCGTTCAGCAGTGCATTTACGCGATCATTCCACGTAGCACTAGGGGCAGTGGGAGTGGAAGCAGCACAACTTTGGCTACGGAGTTCTGCGGTCAAGTCAGGGTCCTCTTTAGCCGGAGCGCCATCCGCAGGGTGGGGCTGAGCAAATCCGTCAGGATTGTAGAGGGCGCGAGGAAGGCCCGTGGTTGCCACAGGCGGGAGAAGGGCTACATGCGCGTTCTGCTGCAGACGTGAATCGGGACACAGCCGGGTAGAGACAAAGCGCTGGAGCCGCCCCAGCAGCGTCCGACTGACGGTGTCCGAGGCAATAGCGTAGAAATAGAATGCGCCTGGCAAGGCCGCAACTGCAATTTCGCCGGTGGACACCCGAAGGCGGCACTCGGACGCAGACACATCGAATGTGGTCTCCAATCAAGGTCCGGTGGTGCTGGGAGAGGAGGGCGCTGTAGGCCCTCTTGGGCGGCTGCAGGCCACTCCCCTTGTGAGCCCGGAGGCAATGGAGACCGATGCGAGGCGGGCTGGTAAGCTCCAGAGCAATCCAATGATGGGACGCATGGTGTCAATCACAGGCAGGAAAGGGCGCACGGTGACAGGTTGCCCGTCAGGCCCATTGCGCACGAAGTCCACACTGCGCAGGAGCAGCTGTACAGGGTAATCGGGCATTCCACAGTGAGCGACCAGGGCGCAGGCGTCGCAGAGCGGCATGCAATTGACCGACCACCTCTCGTAGAATTCCATAGACGTGGCACTGTCACTGCGCGGCAGGGACCGAAGCCCAAGCTGCGCCAGCCCGTATGCCTGACATAGAGCATCCCAACTGATGAGGGTTTTGTGGAGGATGGCATGAAGTTCCAGAGCTGCAATGATCCCCCACCAATGAGAGGGAGACGCGATGATTAGCGGGCCGGTGGGCCTCGTGCTACCAGCTGTAAGTCGCTGATGCGCGTCCTCCCCTGACATGGTGAACCGACCTGCCTTGTCCACCAAACAGATGTCCACTGCACCAGTGGTGCCAGCGCACACAGTTGTGGTGAAAAAGGCGACAAATACTCCAAGTTCATTGTGGTGATCATAGAAAAAGTGGAACAGAGTTTCTGCTTGCTGCGTGGTGGTCAGCTTACCTGGCGGAGAAAAATCTTCCAACCGTTCCATGATGAAATCGGAGAAGGAGGTGCCCTCGGCAGCCACCCGGTGCGCGGCACCAGTGTCGGCATTAGCCGGCTGAGGGTTACTCAGACCCAGCCCGTGCTTCAAGATATCAAAGATTTTGGCGGTCGGCGTCACCACAGTGATCTTTCGCCCAGCCTGCACGGCAAAGCGGTGTCCGCACACATTGTAGGCCATAACCAGGAGAACACAGAACCACTCAACCACGAGTCCCTTTTGTGCAAAGGAAGATGCCTGTTTGGGCAGCCGCACAAAGTAAACCCCGGGCTGATGCATGCCATCAGCTGCAAGCCGTTGTTCGCGTCGCGGCGTGTCCGCGGCCACCTCTCCAATGGTGACTGGGCACGGGGACCGGTCTGTCGCGGAGAGTAAAAGATTGGACTGGGGATAAGATGGCCGTTATCAACAGATAGAGGTCGGCTAGTAATCGTGTGGAAGCAACTAGGGCAAATTCAAGCACACCCACGGCTGTGGACAGACGTCGTCGCCCACCTACATTATGCCAGAATAAGGAGTGAGTCCTGCCCTGGAACTGCACCCGGCATTGCTTTAAGTCGCAACAATCTTGTACAAGTCCAACCACGGGGCCTCCATACACAGGCGCTCCGCTATGGGCTGGCACACAGTCAGACTGGTGCCCGATGGGGACTCCGTTCCCTGATGACCACAGTACCGGTGTCCTAGGCTTGCCCATTGAACCGTGTGAAGAGGCCCACCCGGCGAGGTGGAATGCACAAGGCCACGGAGGGCGTGGGCCATGCGCTCCGGAGGGTAGGGCTGAGGGGCAAGCTGAGCAAGCCCGCGGATGCCCACCGGTTTGGCAGTGAGGCGTGCCAGAGTATGCAGTTGTACATCGCCTTTGCCACCTCCCGTGGCTGTCGCGGATCGCCGGTGCGTATGACCAGTTGACAACTTGCGTTGGCCAAGATGGCTGCCGAGGACGGCTGTCCCTCCCTCTTGTTGCCCTTCATCAATAACAATGACGTGGGCATTCCGGAGAAAGTCTTTCACCTCACTATAGGACGAGTCTCTTAATTGGAGCGCATCCGAGCTGTGTGGAGCATGCGCGCACTTCTGATGGAAGGGGAGGTAGGACGCGTATCGCGCCCACGAGTGTCCGGTCGGTCCGTAGCAATTTCCCCCAAACCAGCAGCCGCATGCTCGGCGGCCCGTGAAGGGCACATGATCGAAGGCCGGGTCGAACCACGACGACCACTCAGGTGCATCCGCAAGAAGGTTGGTGGGGATGCGAACAACTGCGACTAGAGCAGAATGCTGCTGAGCTGTCCAAAGTAATGCAGACAAGCGCACAGGGAGAAGGTTTTGGAGGAGCCTGCACAACCAAGGACACCAAGGGAGCTGCGTTTAGTCTCGCGCCGGCAGGACTGCAGTAATGTACCCGATGAGGAGACTTCAGGGCTGGCGAGCAACCCGGCAATGTGTCGCGACAAGGCTTCTCCCATGAGAGCAGCCAAATCATGGAGCTCCTTCGGAATCAAAGCGGAGCTGATCCGCCAGTCGCTGCGGAAGGCATCCCGCGCGTTAGCATACTCAGCCAGCAGACGAAGTGCGAGGACTCGCTCCCTGAACTGCATATACTGCGTCTTGTTCGTCGCTTGGGCGGCCGGGAATCGCGGAGCCTCCGCCGCCTGCAGGAAGGTGAGCACCATGTGCGTTTCAGCTCCAAAGTGGCACTGCGGCCGGCGTCGGAGGAGTGTGGGGCCTGATGGGAAGGCCGATGGCAAGCGGCACCCGCGCCGTTGACATTTCAACACTTGCAGGAAGACGTCAAGTGCCTCACCCACTTTGACACATGTGAGGCTGTGCAGCGACTGATCCCACTGATAAACACCGGCCATGGGCTCCGCTCTCAAAAAAGGTAGGCCATCGACTGACAAGCAGAAGGGCAGCCGTTTTGTGCCTTCCGCTTCTCTGCTGTGTTTCCACTAACGCGCAGGGAACCACCGCGTCCACGAAGACGGCGCGGTCCGCCGCGTGCCCTCTATGATCCTTGTCCGACCCGGAGGATGGCGCACCGACTGAAGAGGATCCTGCTTCGTAGCTACTGGCGCGAGAGTGTCGCAAAGGGTGTAAGCCGGACAAGGATGGTAAGAGGCCAAAGAATTTTTATTTCCCAACGAACTTCCGTTTGCGCGTGTACGGGTAACCCTTAACCGCGCTGCAGTTAAACCCAGTGCAAGCACTCTCTCTTCTTCTCCTAGCGGACATGGGGGGTCAGTTCGGACCCGATCTTCGGGCATCGAAACTAAGGATGCCGCTGGCATCTGTCTGAAAAGAACGACCGCTGGTCGCAGGTAAGGCAAGGCGAACGACTGGTTCACCCCCCCTCCGACCCCCTACCAGGGGTGTCTCAATGCCACTGGAAACAAAGGTGAAACTTTCTTCGACCCACAGGGTCGCTGCAGTCTACTACTAGCTACTCTGCGTTGTTGACAGCCTACGGCCTATATACAGCAAAGCACGCTGTGCTGAAGGCCAGATCTCTGCTAGAGATACAACAAGGAGCGCTGCTCCGGCAGCTCTGCTGCCACAAGCGTGGTCCCTGACCCCGCATACTATACAGAGTGTGGCGGGTGGGATAAAAACTTTTGGATCACAGATCCACTTCAAGCCAAAAGCTGCACGGCAAAGTTTGTCTAGTGTTCTCAACATGCAAGTGAAAACACTGTTTTCCTTCTTCGACAAAACTTCGTCTACACTTTCGGCGGGAAATAAAACCCATTATTTCCCAACAAAACTTCCGTTTCCGCGCGTAACGGGAAACCCTCAACTGCGCTGCAGTTAAATCCAGTGCAATCACTCTCTTTTTCCTCCTAGCGGACATGGGGTGAGCCGATACACCCCTTAGGATTACTCCTGTGTTTATCCGGAAGCACTAGTCCGTTACGTCTCTGCGGTACGGAATAACATGAAGTGCGGACTTCACGGATGCATCACCTTTTTCACGGTTGGCTCAAGCAGCTCGGTCTGTGGCCCGGCTCGCGGATCTTCCGGAACCGGGCAACCGGACGAGCTACGGGATATATATTCGGTACCCGGGCAGATCCAGAGGATAGTCCCGGGACCGGAGAACAAGGCGGCTGGGTTAACGGCCTACGGGAGTGCAGACGGAAATCCAGCTGAAAAACACAGAAAGTCCAGACAGCATGGATGGACCACCGAACGGAGGTGATAAGGGGACGGTGGTGGGAAACTTTCACTAGCTGAACCGTACCGGCTGAGATGGCACGGACGGGCAGCTTAAGTCGAACGGCTGCGGTACGACTTGCCGTTGCGATGCTTCCGGAATAAACAAACCACGAACATTCGAATCCCCGTTTATCCGGAAGCACTAGTCCGTTACGTCTCTGCGGTACGGAATAACATGAAGTGCGGACTTCACGGATGCATCACCTTTTTCACGGTTGGCTCAAGCAGCTCGGTCTGTGGCCCGGCTCGCGGATCTTCCGGAACCGGGCAACCGGACGAGCTACGGGATATATATTCGGTACCCGGGCAGATCCAGAGGATAGTCCCGGGACCGGAGAACAAGGCGGCTGGGTTAACGGCCAAACTAGTTAGTCCCTTGAGGTGGGGGACTACCCGAACCGGGGGAAACCCAGCCACATTTAGAAGTCCATAGCCGGAAAAAGGGACAGGTTCAGGGCACTCGACGGATGGTATGAAGGCCGAGGAGGTAGAGAGATGAGAGCCCACGGAATATCCACCCGGTCACCAGGTCGGAGTCCAAAGGTGGTCGGGTCAGCACCTCGGCTAAGACCATCGGCAACAGTGTTCTGGAAACCCGGAACATGGTCAATATAAGTGGAGATGCAGAATGCACGCTGCCAGGCAAAATAGGCCGGAAGGAGAGAGCAAATTCCCCGGGCAGTGGAGAGTCCTTTCCACGAAGCAGAGTCGGAAGGGGAATTATCACAGCGGGTGACAACGTGGATGGGGTGAAGGGAAACCGGAATCAGGAGGCCAATCACCCAAAGGAGAGCGATCTGTCCGAGAAGTTCCCAAGCAGCAATGCAGGCTTGCGGAGAAGTGCCAACCGGGAACCAGGGGAATAGGGCAGTGAGCTCCGAAGCGGAGAACCGGTGTTGAAACCAGGCAGTCTTGCCGGAAGGAAGCGTGACGAAACCACCAATGCCGGCATGCTGGGCATCGGCGCAGGCGTCCGCGAACGCCTGGCAGGGGAATTCACGAGCCAAGGGCAGCGGGAACGTAGGGGGAGCATCGGCGAGGCAGGCGTGCCACATGTCCAGCACCGCCAAGGATTCCTTGGAAAGCTTCCGGTCGGATTCAGGTGGCATGCGCACGGAAATCCAGGTGCGGCGTTCGCCAGGGAAGGACACCGGGACTTGGGAAAGTGAGGATACCTCACGACCCGAGACAGAAATCAGTGTGCATAACTTCGGACAGGATGCGAGACCCACGTCAGACTGCAGAACCAGGTGTGAGTCAAGCTTGGAACGGAACGAAGCCCATTTCGCCGGACTCAGAGCAACATGTACGACAGGAGGCTTGCCCTGGTCGGAATACAGGGGAGCTAAACTGGGACGGAAAGGTCGAAAAAGGGAGCAGACCCACAGGAGCTTGCCGGTGAGCTTGCGGAGAAGATGGAGCGGGACGGAATCTGACCCCCGAATTTTGGCCAGGAGGTCACGCAGCCGGTCAAGCTTAGGAGCTTCCATGGTGGCAGAAAGGGAGTGGAGGCAGATAGACCAGCCAATCCACGTTGGCCGGGGGCCCAAGTAGGCCTTGTGCCAGCTCATCGGAACGCGGAGAATGAGCAACATGATGCACATCAGTGCTGCCCAAACCGGGCCGGACGGGCCGGAAAGCAGAGCAATCAGGTCGTCAACATATATCAGCAGGCAATGTTTGACAAAGACCAGGCGGTGAAGTAGACGGGTCAGCAAGCCGGCCATCCGGGACCAGTAGAAGCCGGAGGCGCGTGCACCAAAGTTAAGCGTTAAGCATTGGTACAGCCGGTTCCGGTGAAAGAAACACAAAAGGCCACGGTCAGAGTCACGGATTTTGATCCGGCGGTGGGCTTTGCTGACGTCCAAAATTAACGCGATAAGCCATTCTATGGCGTGCTCCGGCGGAAGGCACTGGCGAATACCGGAGATGGACGGATTTGCGGACTTGTTGGGAAGTGATGTGTGTTCGGTCACACCGGAAACACTGCTATCGACGACCAGTCGATCCGGCCGGCCGGGGGATTTCACCAAGCCCAGCTTCCCAACAGCAGTCTGCTGGTAACGGGCTGTAAGTTCGTCCAGTCCACCGGGGATTTCACGCACCCACCCTTCTGAAATCTCTTCGGAAAGAAGGCTATCCACGGATGCTTGATCCGACAAAGCGGAGCCCCAAGAAGAGGAGCAATGTGTCAAATCCATAGTGGGAGCGGACTGTCCGGCCGGGGGAAACAGGGTCGGACAGGAAGGCATCTCGGAATCAACGCCCAGGGGGACGCCCTCAGTGAGCAAGTCCACAAAGGAGGTGTCCGGATCTTTGAAAACAGACAACAGCGCTTCCAACAGAAAGAGGCGGAAAGGCTGTCCCGGCGGGACGGACAAAAGCGTGTCAAAATCCGGGGCGGAAAGTCGAAGGAAGGATCGAAGGTCATCGAGGAACGGGGCCAATTCAGGGTCCGACAGCGGAGGGGCCTTGGATCCGGAAGACAACTTGGCTTGGAACTTGGACAGGAAGTCCCCTGAGAGAATGCGAGCACACCAGGCTTTCCGGAGGGAGCCGAAGCAATCAGCACCTCTGGGAACAGACCAAGAGGCAGATGAGCAAGTGCCGGCACCATCTTCCACACGATTTGCCGGAATGGGCCAGAAAAGTGTAGCAGGAAGAAGCGAATGCCAGGAACGAAAAGGGATCTCGCCGGTGTGTGACGAGAGCAACGGCTTGAAAAGGTCAGCAAGCGCAGAGCACAGTGACGAGGGATAACAGGCGGTATCCCGTGTGAGGAAAGCACCGGAGGCAGTCCGGCGTCCGGACGTAGTCGCATGAGAGCCGGGAGGATGTTGGCACACAGACGCGAGAGACCTCAGATCCGAAAAGTTGGACACAAAAAGCCAGCTTTTGCGGTAGTCCAAGGCGTGGCTGCAAGCGGCAACTTCAACCGAATGCATGCAGTGGTGGCGGATCCAGGATCGGCAGCCCGGGACAAGCCAGAGTAAGCTGGAGGCCGGGTTTTCTAAGATGGCAATACCTCCAGCCAACATAACGAGCGTGAGCAACTCCCGGGTGAATGTGTGCAACCGGTCTGAGGAATCCAACTCGGCTTGTTGGCGTGGGGAAGGCCGGGGAATACCAGAAGGGTGTGCGGGTGTGCGCACCGCCGGCGGGCCCCCTGGACGGAGGCGGGAACGGCTGAAGCTGGAACAAGGAGGAGCCGCAGCAGCCACAGCAATCAAACCACTGGAGCAGAGCCGGCGCAAGGAGGTTTGAGTGTCGGGGTCAAGCAAGTCCACATGCTCCCCGTGGAGACAATCTATGGGGGAAATGCGGTCCAGACCAAGAGCAGCGACTGCACGGGAGAGCGGCGCCGAGGAGCCGGAGAACAAGTCAAGAAAGAGACGGTGCTTGCAAGGTGCAGGGTGAGACACAGGTTCCGGCAAGGTTTGTGTCAAAGTCTCCGGGGCAGGAGGCGGGCCCGACACTGTGTGCTGTGTCGGTGGAGCGGGGCATCCAATGCGGCGTCCCAGCGGGACGCGAGGTGGTACAAAAGAAAAGGAAAATCCAAGGCGTGTCCGGCGCGGAGAGCGGGGCCGTGCTCGAGTGTCCGAGGGAGCCAAAGGTCCAACCACCAGCGGAGCGTCAGGCCGCGTAACAGATGATGTCGGGGGGCACGGGCCGCACGGCGTGGGAGAGACAACGCACTCGGATTCATCAGAAGACGATGGAATGCACACAGGAGCGGGCGCGTTCAGAGCGCCGGACACGGAGCCAGTAGGTAGTCAATGCGGGGTTTTGTTGTGCTTGTTGGCCGTATGCTTTTGCCCACAGGGCTTTCCGGACGGAAGCGGAATAGGGCACGTGTGGCTGAAGCGGCAGTTGGACAACTTGCACCGACCAACAACAAACCGGCGGCATATCTCTTTTCCGGACTCATCCACGGAGTGCCATGAATCGTCCCATAGCTCGGAAATGGGCTTCTTCCCGGTGGCTTTCGCTTCGGCTTTAGCCTTACCCTTAGGTGTGGGACGGGGTTTCTTGGGCGGGCGCTCCGGAGCATCCTCCGGACGGGTGCGGTCAAGGTTCCGGAGTCCAGGTTCCCTAACCGGAGGCGCCGGGATGCTGCGCGGCCGGGCCACAAGAATGTTCGGGAGCATATGCCGCGTAACAGTAATCTCGGTGACCGAGTCCGGGAGGCTCCACTTCTCATCGCGCATCAGGGTGGCAACGTTCGACCACACGGTGCGTTCGGCAGCAATGACCTCCTGCATAGATGGAGGGCGGAGGGTAGTGTCGATAGGCTGCTCCACGGCAGCGGCCACAAATGCTTCAAGAAGCATTTTTCCGGCACGGAGGTGAAGGTCACCCAGGAAGGCAAAAGCTGTAGTCAGCAGGCCCAGATGGCGGCGCAACGTAGGTTCGACTGGGCCGGAGGTGGGAGCGGAGGATTGGGCCACCACAGGGTCCGGAACACCCTCAAGCAAGCCCCGCAACAACTGTGCGTCCGAACGGGGCCGGCGGGAAATGCTGCAGATCCGACTCAGATGTCCTCAAGCGCCACGGAATCCAGAGCGACGTTGGGGCATCAAGTTCGGACCGGAGACGGTTCAGAAATTCGACGCTGGGAGTATTAGCCGGGGACAGGAGTTCCCCCGGGTAATCGGTGATGCACTTTTCTCGCATGGTCTCAGCTGCGGCGGCAGAGATTTTGGCCGCAGGAGCCGAAGGAAGGCTGGGGCCAGGGACGGGTGCCGGGGGTGCAGGAGGGTGGGCAACCGCTTGGGTTTGTACGACCAGGCGACGTGCAAAAGCAGCAGCAGGAGAGACAATGGCTTCGGAAGATCCAGCCGCCGGCGGCCAGAGTTTCCGGACAAAGTCATCCGGGGACCCATCCTGCTGGATGGCATACGCAATGCTGGCCAGGGACTTGAAACCTTTAAGCTTATGACGTCCATTTGTGCTAAGGACCTGGATCCCGAAATGCATGCAACAGGCCCGAAAATGCACGCAACGAAATGCATGCAACGAGAATGCGTGTTGGGAAATGCATGTTGGGAAATGCAGGCGGCCGAAAGTGCATGCAACGAAATGCATGCACACCGAGATGCACGTTGGGAAATACATGTCAGGCCATCCTCCCCGTCCCAGCAAGACACACACCAAACAGGGCACGACTTCAAACAATGCACATCGGGTTATACGGCGACGATTGCTCCACACGGCCCATATATATATATATATATATATATATATATATATAGATATAGATATATATATATATATATGTATAGGCTGCCTGCTGCTGTTGCTCTTAGTATATAGTATACTAGTAACTAGTATACATACTAACATACTACTGAAGTTACCAGTTACTACTCGTAATGACATACGATGCCGCTATGCCTATGCCTCGTACTGGGGACGAAACCGAATCTGAGTCTGCATTTTGGGCGGGCGGGGCCCGGGAGCCAAAACATGCATTTTCCCTAGCAAAACGCATGTTTTGGCTCCCGGGCCCCGCCCGCCCAAAATGCATGCAAAGCCAATGCTCGCATCTGGGGGCGAGGGGCTTGGTCCAGCAGGTCGGGGGTTGCCCGAAACCCCTTGCATGCATTTTTGGGGGGGCCCGCCCCGGAGCCAAAACATGCATTTTCCTTAGCAAAATGCATGTTTTGGCTCCTGGGCGGGGCCCGGCCAAAATGCACGCAACGGGTGAGCCCGGGAGCCAAAACATGCATTTTGCTAGGGAAAATGCATGTTTTCGGGCCGCCGCGGTCGCTTGCAGGTCGGGGATGGCCCGGCTCACCCGTTGCATGCATTTTGTGCGGGCCCCGCCCCGGAGCCAAAACATGCATTTTGCTAGGGAAAATGCATGTTTTGGCTCCGGGGTGGGGCCCGTGTTAAAGAACGGGCTTCACTAAGCTTCCTACTCTCAAACTGAAGCGGTCACTTTTCCTTGTGGGTCACTGTGTCCGCTGGTCTCGAGCCTAGCACGTCGCGTGTGCGTGACGGCTGTTCCTGTACATTAACTGCACTGCACTAACTGTGTTACTGTTCCTGGCAAGATGTTTAACACCCCGCCTTCGGAGTTAGCGAAAGTTCCTCGACTGAGGTGACTCCGACTTTTCCTGTCAACAGTAAACACACTGCAGTTCCTTTTCACTTGCAAAACAAACACTCTGCCTCATCGCAAACATATGTTCCTATGTTCACTCGCAATCCTCTCCAAGGTTGCTCGACTGTACAAAAGACGTTCCTTTACTATACTCAGATCACCACAGAAACAAAAAGGGCTGTGCCACGGTTCCTGTGTCCTGCTTCTTCTTTCCTCGGCTCTCTGGCCTCAGTACTGCTCGCTGTTCCTTTGCTTCACTGGAAGGTCACTTCGCCGTCGTCGACCTTGTAGACTTTTGCTCCTTCTTCTTCGTTGCTGACTTCTTTCTGTTCCTTGAGTTCTTGCTCTAGCCACTCTGCACGCTGCCTTGCTTGTGACATGCACTTCTCTTTTCCTTGCTTGTCTCTTGATCCTGCTTTCCAACCTGTTTCCTTTGATCCGGAATACCAGTACCACTGCGTCTTGACTTCGTTCCACTTCCACTGGTAGTTCCTGTTCTGGAAACCGTAGACTGCAAACCAGTTTCCTTCAAACTCTCCTTTTCCTTTGCCCTTCATGAACGATTCTTCGTTCACTGGTCCTTTGGCGGAAAGTTCTGGGTCGTCCTTTCCTCCTTTCCTTTGCTGCTGCTGTGTGACACTTGGTGGCTCCTTTCCTGTTCCTTTTCCTTCTGGCTTCTCCTCTTCCTTTGCTGGTGTTGCTGGTGCTGTGTCTGGTTCCGTGGGTGCCTGCGACCCGGCTGCTGATCCTCTGCTCTCAAGCTCCTGTGTAAGGCTTGCAATTCTTTCTTTATCCTCTTTGCGTTCCTTCATCATCTCCTTCATCATTTCTTCAAGCTTCTGGATCCTGTCTGCTTCTCCTGATCCTGTTGCTGTTGTTGCTGCTGCCTTCTTTTCTGCTTCCTTCTTGGCAATGTACGCTGACGCTGCCTTTTGGTCTTCCTCTCTTTTCTTCCTGGCTTCCTTCTCCTTTCTTTTCTTCTCCTGTTCCTTTCTTTCCTTTTCCTCTTTGGCTGCTGCGGCTGCTGCTTCTGTCTCCTCCTTTTCCTTTGCCTCTCTCTCTGCTTTTGCTTTGGCTGCCGCTTCTACCTCTCGCCTTCTCTCGGCGGCTGCTGCGGCTTCTGCTTTTGCCTCCTCTCTGTCTCGCTTTTCCTGCTCTTCTGCTGCTTCTTCCAAAATCCTTCTTGCTTTGGCAATCTGCTCTTCCTTTGCCTTCTTCTCCTCTTCTGCTTTGGCTTTCGCTTCCTTCTGCTCCTTTGAGATCCTGTCCTGTTCGTTCCAATATTTGCGATCATCTTCGTCTCGAGGTCGAAATCCTGAGCTTTCTGCTCTTGCCTTTGGCTTTCCTTTTCCTTTTCCTTCCTTCTTTCCTTTTGTTCCCTTCTCGTGCTTGTACGTGTAGTCCTTGTCGATGTGGATCTTTTCTCCTGTGACTCTGTGTTGCTTGTAGATCTCGCCGTTCTCGGAGTATTCCTTCCACTCGCTGCTGTAGTCGTAGGGGTACGGAAACTGCTTCTTTTCCTCTTCTTTTTCCTTTAGCCTTTGCTTGCTTCTGGCGTTGATCTCCGCGATCTTCTTCTTCCTTCTTTCTTCCTTTGCTTCCTCGCTTTCTTCTTCCTCTGCTGCTGCTGTTCCTTCTTCTGCTTTGGCTTCTTCGGGGTACTCCCCGGGATCTTCTCCTCCAACGTAGCTGTCCACGTAGGCCTCGTTCTCGTTCTCGTCGAAGTAGTCCTGGCTTTCTTCCTGTTCCTGGAGTCTTCGAAGTAGCTCCTGTCTGACCAGTTCCTTATATCGTCTTCTCCTTTGTGTTCCTGGGAGGTAGGTGACGTAGCTCTCGAAGGTGCTGTTCCTTGTCCGTGTCCTTCACGACGTAGTTCACCTTCTAGTTCTCGGTCCTTGGCTTCTCTTTTCCTTTGTTCCTCTTCGTCTTCTTCTTCTTCTTGCTGCTGTTCGTAGAAGTCCTGCATCATCTGGTTCAGCTGTTCCTTCACGGAATCACATGTACCTAGGACGAAGTTCATGTGTTCCTTGACCTGCTTCCGGTCTCTTTCGTTCTCTTCGGCCATTTCCTGAACCTGGTGCTTCACGCTGTAGATCTGGGATGTCAAACTTTCCACACATCCTGCAACGTGTTCCTGACTTTTGCGCAAACGCGCAGCTTCCTCTGTGTTCTTCCTGATCGACTCCGCGATCAAGTTCCTTTCTTCTGTAGCAGTCTTCAACGTGACTGCCGCTTCCTTCAAGGTCTGAAGTTCCTTGACGATCTCTTCTGAGCTTTTGCTTGAACTCGCGCTCGCTTCCATGGCTGCTGAGGTTCCTGGTAAGGTGCCTTGACCTGCTACTGGGCGTACTAGTTCCTGGATACCTGAGCGTTCTGCGAGTGTTCCGCAGAGTTCCTTGAGCTGCGAAAGCATCTCACTGCATGTTGTTCCATGCGCTGTTCCTGCAAACGTTCCTAGCTCACATGCACTCGTGTCACTGCATATGACGTCCTGCTCGCATGCACTTGCACAACAGAAAACATGTTCCTGAAAATCTGCCTGAAACTCTTCTTCCTGAACACAACTCTCAAAACACTGTTCCTTGAAACTCTGAATCTGAAGACTGTCCGAAATACCTGAAATTCCTGCAAACAACAAAGCTGCAAAAGACAAAGTTCCTGGGCTTTTGATCATCCTAACAACTGCTTTAGCTTGTGTTTGGGCCTTGTGTTCCTTGAGCTCTTCTCTACCTACTGGTTCGTTCTCGCTGGTCTGAAAACCTAGCCAGTGTAACAACAATCTGATACGCTTCGCTGAAAGAGGCTTGGTTCCTATATCAGCTGTGTTTTCCTTGGTTCCTACTGGGTGAACACTAATTGTTCCTTCTTTGTGGAGGTCTTGAAGAAAAAGGGTCCTGATCTGCAAATGCTTGACTCTACCTACACCTTGCCTTGTAATAATTCCTCTAGCTGCAGAAGAATCCATATACAAGTGTACCTTGCATTGTTTCCTGGTCAAGAATTCCACTGCTTCCTTCAACAAGATAGAATCTGACGCTGCTGACGCTCCTGCGTAGTACTCTGCTTCACCACTGCTCAAGCTAACCGACTTCTGGTTCCTAGAAAAAGAGTAAATGCACTGACCGTCTAAGCAAACAATTCCTGAAGATGTTGAGCGCCTTGTGTCCTTCTTTCCTGCCCAATCTGAATCACTGAAGACTTCCAAAAGGTGGTGTTCCTTGGGCCTTGTTCCTGTAAAGTCGTAGTTACCATTCCTAATGGATTCATTGAGATTACTGAGTCCTCTGGGTGTCTTCCTGTACACTAGATGGTATCCTTCAGTTCTCGACATGTACTGCACTAGGTGGACTAAGTGCTTCCAAGAACCATGTGTTGGTTCCGACATCTTGGAGGCTAAACCTCTCACGGCAAACTGCACGTCAGGGCGGTCCTGACTGACATACAAGAGTATGCCAACGCTCTTCCTGAACGATGCTGCTTGTTCCTGGTTCAAGGTCTGAGTGTTGTCCTGTTCCTGCGACTCTTGGGTGCACGGAGTTGGCTTTGAGGCTTTGCTGGTAAGCTTCAGTTCTTCCTTAAGCTTCACAAGATACTTCGGGTCACTCGTGATGTGGAGCTCGTGATTGTGGTAGCTGAATTTCCTTTTAAGGAATCGGATTGTCTGGTGTGACTCTCCTACTTCAAGTTCCTGCTCTGTCAAGAAGGGGCCTTCAACCTTTAGCTCGTAGGTTTCTCTTAGCTTTCCTAGCTTGGGCTCTAGGTGCCTTGTTTTCCCTGCTGCCTGAATGTCATCTACATGCACAACAAGTATGCTGTTCCTGTCGTCACGAAACAAAGTAGGGCATGCTTTGCTCCTATCAAAGTTCTGCTCTTTGAGGGTTCCTGCAAAATGATCACTCCATAGTAGTGCTGCATCTCGCTGTCCTGGAAGTACTCTTAGCAGTAACAAACCTTCGTTCCTACAACTAGGGTCCTGGTCGCCAAACAGATCCACATATTCCTTTGGGAATTGACATGCACATCGGGTCCTTTGTGGTACCTGCAAGAATGCGTCCTTGACATCAATGGAGTACAAGGCGTGTTCCTGTTGTAGTCCCAAAATAGGGATAAGTCTCACCAACGATGCGCTTGTTGCTGGGCTGAATGTGTCATTCCTTACTTCTGCTGCTTTGAACTCTCTTGCGACTAGCCTAGCTCTCCTTGTCCATCGGCCGTTCCTGAATCGCCAATCGAAGACGAATTTCGTCGTCAACCACTTTGTTCCTTGGTTGCTCTCTTCTTCTTCTGTCTCTCTCTCCTCTTCTCTCTCGAGTTCTTGCAAGGGTTTCCTTGCCAATGCCTTCATCTCGGTGAGTCTGTTGATCTCTGTGAGCATTGCCTCACGATCCAGTTCCTGCAACTGGGCTTCTGCAACTTCTGGAGGTCCAGAATCTTCGCTCTTGAAGATGTCTTGTTCCTCGTCGGAATCGCCAATGTCCGAATACGAATCTTCCCAGAAAATGTCCTCTGTACCTGGTTCTGCTTCAGGTAGTTCTTCATCATTGTGCTCAAATACTCTTCCTACGTTGAACGGAGGGTACTTCTTCTTGGGAGAATCAATCTTTGGGATCTTGGAACCTGTTCCTACATCATCAAATTCCATTTTCCTAAGAGGTGCTGGTCCTCTAGCTGAAAGAAGTTCACTTGCCATTGCACTGTCT